AATCTCAAAAATCCATTCTCAAAAACTCATCAAATATATATAGATTAAAACTTTCAAATACACAGGAATGGCCTTAATCACCATAACACAGCGACATATGGTCGGCGTTGGCTAGGACATCCACAGGAATGGCCCTCAAGGCCACCCATTCGAACCCAATGTTTCCGGCTTGCTTCACTACCACAAAGTTCTGCGACACCATCACCATCTGCCCCTCCCGGTTCCTCTTGTTGAACACAGACTGCCCACGGTGGTCCGCGATCTGCATATGGGCTTCACCCCTTCAACTTGTAGTGTGGTGCCATGATAGCATCTTGCTCAAATTTTCAACTTCATTTTCAGCAACTTCATTAGTTTTAACAAGTTATAAGAAACCCACATTTTTATACTTTAAAAAAAAAAAAAAACAGAGTACATTACTAGAAGAAGAAGATCATATATCAATGCTTTCTGAACCAACTTTATGAATCGAACCAAGTTATACTAAAACCCACAACAAATGAAGAGAGAGAGAGAGAGGGCAAAATGAGCAAAATGCAAGTAAAAAACAGAGTACAGGAATAAAGCCCTAAAGTGATGAAGGGGGATGAGGGAGCGGAAGATGAAGGAATTAAGGTTATGGCTGGGAGAGAGGGAGGAGGACAAGAATAAAGGGTTCGGGTTTGGGTCTCCAACGAGGGAGAGGAGATGTGGTCGGTGGTCGTCGGTGTCGCAACGGCGGTGGTCATCGCAAGAGAAGAGAGAGTAACGTATGAAAGAAATAGGAGGAAGAGAGAAAAGTTTTGAGGAGAGAAAGAGATGTATCTGTGAAGGACAGATGAGAAGAGAGGGAAGGGGTGAGGCAGACATGGGAAGGTGGGAAGGCAACAACGATGCTTTTAGGGAGAGAAGTCTTTGGGCGGGAGATATATTGATCTGAACCATTGATATAAACTTGGGATTAATCTTAGCCATCAAATCAAAATGTATCTTTGATACATTTTGATATATTTTTAAAAATCATTCTTCCTTATTATATAGATGTAGCATCTCTCTTATAGAATATGTAGCATCTTGTCAACTATAGCTCTTGCCGCACTTGCAACTATTTTGATGAAAGCTAGGTATTTTTCTCTCTCTCTCTCTCATGCTTTGTATACACATCTACATGTTTATATAATTTTTTTTTTGTTGCATTAGCCATTGTTTATGAGCTATTTACTATTCAAGTAAACAAGATTGAGTCTACTTCCCCATCTATTTTATATCAATTTCATAAATATATATATTGATGATAATATTCTTATATTTTACGGAGTGGTCATAGGCTACATATCTATGGCGATGTTTAGGAATAAATTTTTTAGGTTTTTTTTACTAAAAGACAAATTGGTTATAAAACCAAAAAAAATAAATCAAAACAAAATATCATATCAAATTTCATAATTATTTCACTTTTTTTCTCACAAACATCACGTCAAACCATAAAAAAACCCAACTATCTTCCAAAACACAAAAAAAAAAAATTCTCCAATAATATTTTACAACTAAAAAAATTATAAAAAAACCAACTTCTCAAACACCCACATAGTGTATTTTTTGGTTTTTTGTGTGCATGTTATGAGATAATTGTAGCTTGGGGATTTTTTAAAATAAGCATAATGCTAATTTCAAGGAAAAAATAATTTGAGTGACTGTATTTTCAATTCAAATATGAGTTTAAAAAATTGGATGATTTGGTATCATTTTTTAATGTTGTCTTCCATTTTTGGGGAGAAAAAAAAAACAAAATATTGCCTAAAATAGATTTGTGGAGCTATTTCAAAAAAATGTTTACAAATTTTTTTTTTTAAAAAAAAAATGTGTGGTAGAAAAGATTGTGTTTTCAAACATTCTCTCACATGTCAAAATGATAAAAACGAAAACTAAAATAAATGGGGAAAAAAAAAATCAAAAGGGCTTTACCTTATGTTTTTCAATTACAATAATTTGTAGCAATTTATGTTTTATCATTAGTGTGTTTGATTTTAATTTTCTGAATTTAATTTTTTATTTTTTTATTTTTTTTGTTTTTCACGAATCTTTTTTAAACTTTAAGCAAATTTTTTATTTTTTTAGATGTACCTCACATAGATGTATTTAAAAAGGAAAATATTTATAAAAAATATTTTTAAAATCAATAAATGCAAAAGAATACGAAAAATGTACCAAATTTCAATTTTTTTGTATTTTTTATATTTAGTGAAATTTTTAAAGATTTTTTCACAAATATTATACTTTTTAAGGGTATTTATGTTAGGTGCATCTAAAAATTTTAAAAATTACTTAGAACATTAAAAAAATTCAGTAAAAATAAAAAAAAAAACAAAAAATTTCAATTTTTATAAAGTGAATCATGAAAACTCAAACCAAACAGCTAGCATTTGTTTATATTAGTTTGTGTCCAACAATAAGTAAATTTGTTGTTTTGAGTTGCTATTGGGATATATTCATATAAGTACATTTAACAAATTAATGTCCACTTTTTCTTTGCATGCATTTTGAAAGACAGAATAGACTATTTGAGTCACAACAGATAAAACATTACATCTAACTCATAATCATTACACTCTTCTCTCACAAAAAAAGTCAAAAAAGTCAAAAAGCCAAAAAATCCTTCCCAAACCAAGCTTTAGAGCCCAGGCTCAAATAGACAAAAAAGTCAAAAAGCCAAAAAATCAACTCACTTCCCAAACGGAGGCTCATTGATAAATTTGTAACAAATATCATATTTGAATTTCTATTTATTTGAGTTTTTGCATAAGTCACATCAACAAATTTCTTTTCACTTGACTACTTAAAAAAATAAATTTATATAAAATTAAAATTAAACATAACCCGTATATAGCATGTAGAAAATAATGATACTGGGCTATCATTTTCTTATTTTATTTTGATTTTATTTTGATTTTTTTATTGGACATTTACCCCAAAAAAAAAAAATATGGAGCACTAAATGGGCCGCATAAGTTTTTGGCTACATCCATTCCCGTGAGGCCCCCCCAATTCATATTTTTAACTTCTTACATATATAATAAATATAATGAAATAGTAGCAGAATATATTCTTATTCCTAATGTAATAAATAAATAATTAAAATTAAAATGAAATTACATCTTCAATGATCATTTTCCTACGGTCATTAAAGAAAATATTATCAATCCAATTTAAAGTTGGTCATTCCATTAAATTGATTGTTAAATTTTTCTATACGTACATCTCTAGAGAGTGAAAACTATAAAAAAAAAAGTTGTTAATTTTAATCTCAAATTTGAACATAAGAATCAAATTAAATCTATATTGAAAATATACAAACCAAATGATTCAATTTAAAAAAATAAAGATTAAAGTGAAATTTGAAGTAAATTATAAAAGTAAAAAAGTATAATTTACTTTTTATTTGAGGGTTAAAGTGACAAATGACTTATATTTAGGGTGAAAGTGTAATAATTTTTTCCAAAAGGAAAAAAGGATAAATTATGTTTTGCTCTTTATATTTGGCTAATTTCTCATTTGTACTCTTATTGTTTTATTTTTTTTACTTTGGTCTTTCATGTTTTAAGTTTTTTTTGATAACTTATGTTCAAATTTTGACAGAAAATGATATATTGACAACCACAAGGATGTACCTAAAAAAAAGACAATCACAAAGACAAAAAAATATTGAGCAATGGTAGATGGCCCAAATTCTGTGGCTCAAATGTGGCTCAAATGGCCAAAACGACGTCGTTTTGAGTACAAAACAACATCAAAATGGCCAAAATGACGTCGTTTTGGCCATTTGAGCCACATTTGAGCCACAGAATTAGGGCCCCCAAACATTTTTCAAAAATATTTTATCATATATAACTCATACTTTTGACACATATCCAAATCTTAATATAATAATGTATATTTTATAGTATGCGACAATTAATGTGATATTTTATGTTAAATGTTGGATAAAAGTTAATTTTAAGCGTAGATTGAAAAATAATTGAAATATGAAGAGTCAAAAGAAAAAATAACTCAACATAAAGGGGCAAAGTGTAATTTAGAAAAAGAAGAAGAAAAACACATTTTTACTTCTGTAGGACGCGTAAGAGAGAGAGACATGAAGACACCAAATCCAAACCCGGACTTGTTCGGAAGAATGAACCCGATTGGATAATCGGCGACGCGTCCGGCGGAGAAAATAGCTTCCGGCTTGTTTTCATCAGTCAAAAAGAAATGTGAAAGCGCAAAACGAAGAGAGAGAAGAGAGATCGATCGAGCGACGAGCCTAAAGTCGGCGCAATGCTCTTTATATTTGGCTAATTTCTCATTTGTACTCTTAGGGCATGTTTGATTGGGTGGATTAGAACATAGGATTAGGATTATTAATCCGTGGGCCCAATTATCCTATGTTTGTTTTAATATTTTGGTTTAGGATTATTAATCCAATGGATAATTAATCCAACAAATTTGTAAGATTATTAGTAATAGGGTAGGGGTGAGATTATTAATCCAATGGATATTAATCCAATTGGATAGTGAATACTACACTAATTTTATAGGATTATTAATACTTCATTATTAGTCTTGTGAATCAAACATGACCTTATAGTTTTATTTTTTTTACTTTGGTCTTTCATGTTTTAAGTTTTTTTGATAACTTATGTTCAAATTTTGACAGAAAATGATATATTGACAACCACAAGGATGTACCTAAAAAAAAGACAATCACAAAGACAAAAAAATATTTTATCATATATAACTCATACTTTTGACACATATCCAAATCTTAATATAATAATGTATATTTTATAGTATGCGACAATTAATGTGATATTTTATGTTAAATGTTGGATAAAAGTTAATTTTAAGCGTAGATTGAAAAATAATTGAAATATGAAGAGTCAAAAGAAAAAATAACTCAACATAAAGGGGCAAAGTGTAATTTAGAAAAAGAAGAAGAAAAACACATTTTTACTTCTGTAGGACGCGTAAGAGAGAGAGACATGAAGACACCAAATCCAAACCCGGACTTGTTCGGAAGAATGAACCCGATTGGATAATCGGCGACGCGTCCGGCGGAGAAAATAGCTTCCGGCTTGTTTTCATCAGTCAAAAAGAAATGTGAAAGCGCAAAACGAAGAGAGAGAAGAGAGATCGATCGAGCGACGAGCCTAAAGTCGGCGCAAAACCTCCTCTGAATCGCTCTAAAATCATATCCGATTCATCAAATTTCTCATATTCCCAATCAAATCTCTTCACCTTCTTTGTCAATCGATCACCATCGTAACAACTCTCTTCTCTTTCAATCCCTTACACGCGAACTGTATCTATATACACGTATGTTTGTGTAATTCGTTGTTCGTTTTGCGATGTGTTTGATGTATTTGGATAGCTATGTTGTATATTAGTATAGATATTTTTTAATAATCTGTTAATTGGAATTGAATTGACTACGAGGTTTTTGTGTTTGACAATTTTGGTTAGATCTGTAATTGTTTGGAGGCGAACATGGGCTGTATGGATGGGTCTGGTTGTTGATTTTTTTTTCCCGCGATTGAACAGTAGAACAACCAACTAATTCAGTGTTTAATCTTTTGGGATATCAGAGAGATGGATTTGGTTTCCAGTTGCAAGGTATTTTAAATCTTGACTTTGGTTTCATGGAATTTATAATTCTGAATTATGTGTGTATACTGATTTTAATTGTTCACAAATTGGCTACTGTTAGTTGAACATTGTGAAGATAGCGAACTTGTTTACAAGAATGCAAAGTTCACAAAATCATTTTGGGGCATGACAAATTTTTTTTTTGGGGGGTAGCAAAGAGTTCATCCATTTTTCTGATGCGGTTGAGTACTGTAACCGTCTGATATTTTGGTGGGATGTGTTTTGAATTTGCGAAGTATGTTTACTTTTTATTTAGATCATATCAGTGGAAATGGAAATTAACTCAATCTAGCATTTTGTTGCATACCCTGCGTGTTGAAATCAACTCAACTTGCCCCCGTCTGCAGAATGAATTAAAAAGTTGCCTTCTTTGGGAGGAATGTTGCACTTGCGAGAGAGAAATGGTTGATTCTGGACATCTTCTTCCTATGTAATTGTATACGCAGTGTGGGAGTTATGGTTACAGTTATCATTCACTTTATTTTCGTTTTGTGTTGCCTTTGTTTTTTTTTTTTTTTTGAGTTTGAGAAGATGCATTGGTTAATTCCTCTAATAATTTAAAGCAGTCATAAAGTCTATTTGAATTGTATCATGGGTTAAAATTTGAAATATCATGGACGAAACCCATTGAGAAATGAAATAGGGCATTCTAAGATGATAGTTTTGGTAGTTTGAGTTATTGTGTTAAATAACAAGTTCCAAAAACATTTTAGTCTAATGATAATAAAAATGTATTTTTTGATCTGTCAACTAAGTTAAGCTGTTGAATAGATAACAACCTAGCTAGAAAGCTTCTTTTGGCGACTTAGATTTGACTTTCATGCGTCACAAGAAAATGTTGTCTAACACTCTAACCTCATTTAGCCACTACTATTGAGTGGGGAGGTCTAGAGGCTCCTCCTCATAAAGAAATACAAGAAAAAATTTGAGGCTTCCTTTGGAAATCTCGAGGCTTTTCACACTAGCTTGCACATTGCTCAAGAAGTCTCATAACCTGGTGTGGTGACAAGTGCTATCTGTTTTTCTGTTTTGAGTCATGGTAATCAAATAATCAACCTATCCACAAAGAAGTGAGGAGACCGCTATCTACTTACTTACGCTCCCTGTAAGCTAGAACCTTGTACACTGGTATGACCTTTACCTTTTAGGAAATTTGGCATCACCTCCATGTTGAATAGTTTGAGTTTGATATACATTGTTGGGCCCATTTCTTAATAGCTTAAGCTTTTAGGAAAATTGGTGACTTAGCATGGTATCAGAGCTTTAGTTGAGAGAGGTCTTGAGTTCAAGTGTCTCTATTGGCATTTTGGTATTCGGTCCCAGTTTGATGATTTCTTCTTTGTTTGGTTGTTTACTTATTCGTCTGTTTGGTTCTCTATTTATCTCTCCATGTGCAAGACAGGATTGCACATGAGAGAGGCTGTTGGATACCTTGATAAACATTGTTGGGTTCATTTCCCAATAGCTTAAGCTTTTAAGGAAATTGGTGGTGACTTAACACCCCACCCAACACTGCATCCCCCATGTTATATATCAATCTGCCTCTGGCCATTTCTAGTTCATGTGATAAATATATTTAAAGTAGATGCAGCACATATGCAGCTGATGTACCCATGCCTGGTAATTACTTGTGAAGCTATGGTTGGAGCTAGTCATTTCAAGTTAGGCTCAATTTTAGGTGTTTGCTAGGGAAAACTAGTTACTATTGGATGATTAGCTTTATTGTTAAATATGCTCCCTAGTGTATAAGTTCATCCATTTGAACTTCAAAATTCTAACAATTATTGAAAGAGGGTAAGTACTAGGTTTGCTAATTTTGCACTTTCTGGTATACATGTTCTTGCTATTTCTTAGCGTGGTGTGAGACTCTGATGGTTTCATGCCCAGGATTCCCTTTCTTTGGTGGAGGAAATGGGATTTGAAACCAATGTACAATCTTTATGCTGTGGGCTTAGGCTGGCCTCAAGGCCTATCCCAATGCATCTCTAGTTGGAGATCTCTCCATACACATTTGAGAAGTATGACTACGGATAATGAAATTTTGTGAATTCTATGCTCAAGTGTAGAAAGCCGTGGCTTGCCTTGCCTCATATGATTTTTTTTCCGGTCATAGGAGGTTTCCTCAACTCACTTCATCATTGTCACTGAGGTTTCCTCAACTCACTTCATCATTGTCACTGAGGTTTCCTCAACTCACTTCATCATTGTCACTGTTCTCATGGTGGCTACTTTTTTAATTGGTTATTGTCAAATGTCATGTATGATGACTGTATCTGCTTTTTGGTTGCTATGAGTTTGTGATGATGTATCTTCTCTCTTATAGGACAAATTGGCATATTTCAGAATAAAGGAGCTCAAGGATGTTCTCTCCCAACTGGGACTTTCAAAGCAAGGAAAGAAGCAGGTTCAGTATATGAAATATTATTTATATTGCTTGGTGCTTTATTAACTTGTATGAATGAATGGTGAAAGACTAGTTGTTGACCTCTTTTGAACTTCAAGAGGAATAGCTGGAAGCTCAATGTCTGCAAACACTTTAAGCCCTATTTTGACAATGGGCATGGTGTTTTGTGCCAGTTTTACACATTGTTGCACTTTAACTGTTAACAAAGTTTAATTTCCCTAACAACGGCGTAGTACTTTCTTTAAGCTTAATTTTCATTGTAAATCTATAAAGCAACACTTTAAAAGAACAGAGAAGCATTTTGGATTGCCGTTGTTGATGTAATATATCATTCAACCCCGAAGTTGCGGCCCTTGTTTTGGAAGATATTCCTTCCCAACTCTCTTATCAGCCGGCAATTTAAAGGATTACAAATGCGTGCTTGCATTTTATCACTAGTGATTTCATCAGCCGTTTGTTTAGTTCTGAAAATTGCTTGTTCATAACATTGGAGATTTCTTTTGGTAAATTCCCCGTCCTCCCTTTGTCTCTTTCGCTCTTCACTCACCAACTCTCTCTCAACTATTTCAGGTCTATAAATGTAACCTTGTGTTTCTTAAATTCATGGCAACTTGAAGATTTATTTACTTACTTTTTTTGGGGTTGAGCATCTCTTTTATTTAATTAATTGATCTCTTCGTTATTTATCAATTTTAAGTTGGATTATTACAAAGCACATTAGGTCTGACTTGTGTATACTTAATTTTGTAGGACCTTGTAGAACGTATATTGGCCATTCTCTCTGATGAGCGAGGTAATTGGTTCTATTACTTTCTTTATCATTTTTCCCTCAAATATAATGATAAATTATTGTAAAAAGTCCACATAGGGTTTGTACATTTTTCCATACACCAGTGGTTGTTTATTTCCCTTTTCTTTATATATATGCCGTACCAAAGTGTTCATTGGAGTAGGTGGTGGTTTGTGTCCTCATGCCATTACATTTCATGTTTTATAAAGAAAGAACTTCTTTGTTAGGGACTTGGGGTGAATTTCGTGTTTCTACTCATCCCCAAATTAGGCAGAGATGTTGATGATTAAAAAAAGCAGAAATGTTGCTGAGATGATAATTTTTTCAGTAGTTATTTCTTGTCATCTAGGAAGCACGGACACCTTGTCGGAGGCTGCGTACACAGACACGCGTTAGACGTGCGGTGGACACATGTCGGACACTTTACCAAACGTGTCCCCGGTTTTTTTTTTGAATTTTTCCTGTCGGACACGTTTTTGACACACCAAGACATGTTTGGACACTCTGTAACAAGATAAAGCTTGAAAAATAGAGAGCTGGATCGAGGCCCTAACCTGTCGTCGGACACTTTACCAAACATGTCACTTGTTTTTTTTTTTGAATTTTTCCTGTCGGACATGTTTTTGATACACCAAGACACGCTACTCTGTAACAAGATAAAGCTTGAAAAATAGAGAGAGAGCCCTAACCTGTTCTTTGTTTTGTTCTTTTCTTTGATTCGTTTCTTCTGTTCTTCATTCTTCCTTTGTCGCTTTTGTTTTTCTTCCTCCTCTGTCTCCTTCGTTTTCTTCCTTCCTTTCTCTCTTCTTTATTTTACTTTCTTTACTAGTCAGTGGACAACAATGTTGATTTATTTTAATATATATAAAATAGGTTTGTGTGGGGGCCCATCCACCATCCCACTAATCCTTAATAATGCATTCACCTTCTACATTTTCGATTATAATATTATATATATAATATTTTAATATTAAAATACTCAACACCAACAAAAAAAATTTGGTACTGTGCTTATTAATTTTATTATTATTCTAATTTTATAAAAACTAACACTTGATTATTAAATATATCATTGACTTTTATATTATTTTGTATTTTTAATTACCTTCTAATAATTTTTTATTTTTATTTTAGACATATAATAAATAAATATAATTATATATATTGAGCGTGTCCCCGGCGTATCGTGTCCTCCATTTTTTAAAAATTTACGCGTCTGCGTGTCTGTGTCGTGTCCCGTGTCTATGTCCGTGTCCGTGTCCGTGTCCGTGCATCATAGCTTGTCATTATAGTTTCTTTTTTGTGCCGTCTAGTTTTACCTTAGCTTTAACCTTAGTTGTAGCTTGTGCAAACCTCTTATATTAGGAGAAAATTGCATTTCATGTTTTATTTTGGAAGTTTGTAATTTTATACAGACATGGAGTGGTTTTATTCGTGTTAGGATTTTTTACTACCTTATACATAATGTTTTTCAATAAACTAAAATGTGTACCTTTGGGAAATAACTTTAATACAAAGGAAGCAGTCTATTCCATATCTTGATAATGCAGAATCTAGGTATGTTCTATAATGCGATTTCATGCACACATTATATATTTAGGACACCCCTTCACATTCCAAATCCAAATCTTTAAACCCCCAAGGATGGACAATTCTGCCCTTGCCTGGCTAGTCTTGTTCTTATGTCAATGCACAATTGAGTTTTGATTATATTTGTATTGTTATCTTTGGGTTGTGTTATTTGTGGGCTTAACTTCAACATTTCTACTATTCAACTGTGTTTGGCTGAATTTGAAGGTGCATTTTGAATACAATGGCTTTGTTATGTTATGAACAATTGCAAATTGTCTGCCATTTTTGTGTAGTTTCTGGTACGTGGGCAAAGAAAAATGCTGTTGCGAAGGAAGAAGTTGCAAAACTAGTAGATGATGCTTACAGGTATGTTCTTATTGTATCTCATTTCTTACATTTGGATTACATCGTAAGTAATGGCAGATCTTAACTTTGGTTGATTCGTAGATATTTGTTTTCAGCATATCAAATTGAACTTGTTATTATGGTTGTTGAACATTTTCTCATTCCATAATGCCATGTGTTGGCATTTGTTTGGTTGTCTCATTAACTTGCTAAGCATTTTTGTCTCCCCAGAAAAATACAGGTATCTGGGGCTACTGATTTAGCATCGAAAGGACCGGGTTTGTCAGACAGCAGTAATGTTGTGAGGCTCAAGGAGGAAATTGAAGATTCTTATCAAATGGATAAGATTCGTTGTCCATGCGGAAATTCATTGCAAACTGATTCAATGATCAAGGTCATATGAATATCTTAACTTTCATGTTCAAAAGAGTCTTCATTCTATTCATGCTTCCAAGTAAATATTTAATTCATCAGAAATGCAAGTTCTTGTGATAACAATATTGCATAGCCATTCATATGTGAAATATTAATGGCAATTGATAGCATATCATATAATTACTACTCATGCATAGAAAAGAAAATATAAACTCTAGATATGCAAGTGTTAAAATGGTAAACATGAGTATGTAATGCAATGATAACGCTTAGGGTGTTACAGTTCTATACCCCCCACCCATCTCGTTGCAAACTAAAAAAAATAAACAAATAGTGGTCTAATACCCCTTAACACAAACAAAAAACCTGCCAAAGATAAAAGACTTTGTGTAATGTTGCAATGCTATCATCTGTGGTGTATACTGCTTAATTTACGGATTGCACACACTTTTATTTTGTTACTAATTTATTTGTTTTATTGTGCAGTGTGAGGATCTGAAGTGCCATGTGTGGCAGCATATTGGTTGTGTTATTATTCCAGAGAAGCCTATGGAGGGTGTTCTACCAGCTCCTCCTGACATTTTCTATTGTGAACTCTGTAGACTCAGTCGGGCAGACCCGTATGTAATGCAGTTGTTTTTTTTTTTTTCTCTTTGTTGTGCATATGTGGATGAATGTTTCATGATTTCTGTGTGCGCTTTTGCTGTTACTGGTATTTTACTTGTTGGGTAACATCACATTTTTTTTCCACTCATGCATCTATTATGGGATTTGTTTCAAGTACATGATTGCTTTGCTACCTTACGTTATTATTTTTTCCCCAATAAGTATTTCGTTGCTGGTTCCGTGTTACATGTTCTTCATTATCTTTTTTCATCAACATGCTATCGATTTAGTTAGTCTTTGGAAAGTTTCATATCGTGGTTTCCTGTAATTTGAGTTTCCTATGCCTTTTCATTCGTTTTTGTGCCTCATCATTAATGTGTGGGTAGCACAAATTTTAGTACAGTTTTGTTTTATTTGATAAGTTTATCTTTGTCTGTGATTCCTCAGTTTGATTTGTTCGTCATGTTTACATAAGTAATTGGACTATCATTAGTACATAACAAATCTTGACCAGTCAACAACTTTTTGAACTTTTGCAAAGTCTTCATCTATAAATTTCTTCCAATTTTGATATTGCTGTAAAGCCTGCAATTATAAATTATGAGAGGTTCCCCCTGCCCTAAGTTTAAATGACCATGATGGTTGTTGTCAGAACTTTTTCTGAAGTACTACTGTACATAACGTGACTGATGAAGCTGCAGTCAAAGTCTGGATTATGATTTGTTTTGGAATGGGCATTAAAGTTAAGAAAGTAAATCTTGATCTCCCCAGTCCAACCTGCCTGGCTTAATTGTTTGAAATCATTTGTCAAGCCAGCTGCGAATGTTCTTAAACTCATTGCAACTTAAATACTTATCTGGGTGGTTCAATATGATTAACTTTCCTCCAATTTGATCTATCATTCTTTCTCACTCTCCTGAAGCTTATCTAACATAAAAAGTTTTTAATTCTTCTGATTTGTTTTATGATGTGCAGCTTTTGGGTGACGGCAAAACATCCCTTGTATCCTGTTAAGTTGACCATTGCAAATGTTCCAACAGACGGGTAAGTGCATCCCCAATTCTGATTCTTAGGTTGTAAATCATGCTTCCTTTCTCCCTTGTTGAACAATTTTGTATATATGAAATGCCAATTTGAATGTTAATGGAAGAATTTTGGTTTTGGCTAAGGTGAGTGTAAAAAGAACTTGAATTGAGGATTAGTTTTGTTAAATTTTCATTTTTCAAGTGAAATCCCAGGTTTACAAGTGGCAAATGGATTTAGCCTTTTCCTTATCTCTTTCGTTTCATTTTACTTGGATGGAATTAGCTATTATTATGTTGATGCAATAACTTTGAGATGACGTGTGCAATTTACCGTTGTCTTAATATTTATATTATTTTCTTTTAGAAAATATTCTCTTCATATATTCCCCTTATTCGACAAAAGCTTATCTTGCCTTGTCGTATTGATTTTTTGTTTTAATTAAATTTTTTTTTTCTCTACAAAATTTGTTAGTTCAAATCCGGTGCAGAGCATTGAGAAAACATTTCAAATTACAAGGGAAGACAGGGAATTTTTTAAACAAGAGCATGATGTTCAGGTTGGTTGGTGTGCATTTACATCTGCATCATGAAAATTAATTTTCTACCAAGTACTTATATATGTTTTAACTTTTCTTCGTAATTACGATGTAGGCTTGGTGTATGCTGCTTAACGACAAGGTTCCATTTAGGATGCATTGGCCACAGCATGCAGAGCTACAAGTCAATGGTATGCTCATTTTGCTTTATCCATTACATTATGTTACTTGCATGTGGGAGTTTGTAAACTATATTGCTGTGATATGTTCACTAAAGTATCCTTATTTGTACTAATTATTTTAGACCATGCAGTTGTAATCATTTAGCCGTGAAAACATATTCCGCATATCAAACATTCAATGAAAGCTTGTTTTTGTATTTTGTTTTATCTATTTATTATTTACCTGTTGGCCTTTTGATTTAATTATAAAAAGGTAAATTACACTTTACCCCCTTACGGCTAGACCAAATAATATGGTGGCCCCCCCCTAAAGTTTGATTTGTGACACTAAACCTGCTTGGATCAATACCAAAGTGAAAAAATGGATATTTGTGATGAAAGTGTTGAAAAGACCAAAATAACCCTCTTATTTCTCCTCTTATGATTCATTTGATCATTTGTTCCCTCTATTATATCGTTTGACTTGCTTTCTGAATGTTTTCATTGTTTATATGACATTGTCTTCTCTTGGAACTTCAATTTCCTTAGAAATCTTAATTATCATGAGGGAGCTTTCAAGGGTACTTGATGCCATCCATCTCTAAGCACCTCACAGAGCATCCTTCTCTATTTTGGTGGAGGGAAGGCCCCTAAATAAGCTCAAAATTATTCTGAGACTCAAGCTCCTAGTCCTGCATCCCTTCACAGATAGCTTTTTAACAATCACCTTTAACAACCTCCTGTACTTGGGATCTTCTTGTGGTCTTTATATATATATATATATGCATATTGTTTTGTGGGTTTTTGTTTGTTTGTTTCCTTTTTGTTTTGTTTTGAATTTTTATAGGCTGTTCTTGGTGTATTTTGTGTATGACCCTACAGGTATGCCATTGCGGGCAATTAACAGACCTGGCTCACAATTGCTAGGGGCTAATGGTCGTGATGATGGCCCTGTTGTGAGTTTCTTGGCCTTTGTTCACTCATTTTTTTGTAGTCCATTTTGTTGCTTATTTTATGCCCAAATGATTTCTTGAGGAATACATTTGTGTGAGTGTTTATTTATTTATTTATTTAATGGACACTTGCATTTCTAACAGCATTAATAGTTTGCTGGTCTTGGTTATATTTCTTAGTTTCCTTCTTGTTTTGTCAGATCACACCGTGCACCAGAGATGGAATTAATAAAATTTCCTTAACAGGATGTGATTCTCGAGTGTTCTGTTTGGGGGTCAGAATTGTGAAGCGGCGTACTGTTCAGCAAGGTAGTTTCAATTCTTTCAAAATTAAGACATGTGATGGTTGACTGTAACTCCGTACCTTCACTACGATGAATTCTTTCAGTTATGGCATCTTGTAATAGGAAATGTAATCTAATCACTATTGATTTTGTATATTTTATTAGCTGTCTGAAATTGTTTTATTGTTTTCTGTTGAAGAGTTTTTTGTTGTTTCCTAGTTCTTTGTATGGTTAAATTTGCATTAAATTATTTTCCCCCCATTGGTCTTTGTAGTTGTATCTGCAGTTAGTTTGCATCAGTTTTTTCCAGTGTAGAATTTTAACAAACCAGCTTTTTTTGCAAGGATACGATTGTTTTCATAAGTTACCCTACAATTTGAGGGATCAATGTCGTCATATCATGGTTAGAGCTATTTGTTTCTATGGCTTATGTAGTGTGAGACTCAAATGAGTAGTATTGTTTAATTAAAAAGTTTGTCTTTGCCTTCTATTTAATTGGACGTTTTGCTTTAATTTTATCATCTGTAGTATCTTGTAGTACATTGTGGGGGCAGTATGATTCTGGTTCTTGTTTGCGATGATCTAAACTTTGTTGATCAGGCTGGCAGGTGTAGCCTGATAGCAATTTGGTATTGAACTGTTTTTGTATCTGTGATGGTTTTGGATATTTTAGGTTATGTAGTTTTATGTATACATATATTTATATTTATATATTTTTTTTGGTTGAAGTTTATTAGGCAGTTCAATCACACCAAACAAATGTGTAATTTAGGAGGTCATAATTATTCTTGGTTTTTGTGGTTATGTTATTTTTGCTTTGTTGTTTAGATTCTCAACTTGATACCTAAGGAGTCAGATGGTGAGCTATTTGAAGAAGCTCTTGCTCGTGTTCGCCGTTGTGTTGGTGGTGGAACTGAAACAGCGAATGCAGATAGTGACAGTGATCTGGAAATTGTTGCTGATTCTATTCCTGTCAATTTACGTTGTCCTGTAAGTAATTTTCTATACGTCAGTGCAAGCAATGTGTTTTTATATTTGTGTGTGCTGGAACTAATTGGCCTAGTTGAAGTATGTCAATGTGTACTTTTATTTTTCATTTTACTTCCAATGGAGCTTGATTTCTCTTAGTTATTGATGTTGTAAATATATACATGAGTTGAAGCTTTTGGAGTGTGGAACTGTGAAACGTTTGTATTCAAGTGGTTTTTACCCTAGTTGATAATGAAAGTGTTTTTGCATTACTAAGAGAAAATTACATGAGTTGTATCAACCTTGTAAACTAAGGAATCAGTGTTGCACCTCAAACTGCACTGCTCTTTGTTAATTTTTTTATTAACAAAAAAATGAAATATTATTGATAAAAAGTATGGAGAAAGTACAAATGAGGACAAGAAGTCCTCGAAGAATATTTCCCAAAGTCTGACTAGAGTTTTTCACGAGTTTATGTTCATATTTCATTGTTAAAAAAAGTGATATTACTAGCTAATGTGATGTATTGTCAATATATGTGTGTTCTTTACCCGTGTGTAGACCTTTTCTTGATGTGTTATATTACTCAAGTACATGTGACCTCTAGTCAAGGACAGGTGTTCTGCTTTGGTGTTGAAGCTTCTGTTCTCTTTTTTATTGTGATATGGAGGTAACTGGAGATAATTATTTTTGGGATTTTCTCCCCCCCTGCACATATATGGTACAGATGAGTGGCTCACGAATGAAGGTTGCTGGAAGATTCAAACCTTGTCTTCACATGGGCTGTTTTGATCTTGAAGTTTTCGTGGAAATGAACCAACGGTCTAGGAAGGCAAGCATTTAAAAATAATGTTTTATATGTTGTTGGTATTCTTCTTGTCAAGTTGTATGAGTTAGATAAATTGTTTGGTTCCATCTTTGAGTGTGTTTGTATATTTGTATGGCTGCAGTGGCAATGCCCCATCTGCCTCAAGAATTACTCTCTGGAGAATGTCATCATTGACCCGTATTTCAATCGCATCACATCTAAGGTTGCCGCCTAACATGGACCTCTAAATTTAATCGAGCTTGTCATTGATTTTTGGGTTCATAGGGTTTGTGCTTTGTTGTAATTTTGTGATACAGATGCAGAATTGTGGAGAAGATGTGACAGACATTGAGGTGAAGCCTGATGGTTCTTGGCGGGCAAAGACGGAAGGTGATCGCAGGGATCTTGGAGATCTTGGGCTGTGGCACTTCCCCGATGGTACTCTCTGTGTCCCTATGGATGGAGAAGTTAAACCTAAATCAGAAGCTCTTAAGCACATCAAACAAGAAGGTGTTTCTGAAGGACATGCCAGCTTAAAACTTGGAATCAAGAAGAACCGGAATGGTTTGTGGGAAGTAAGTAAACCCGATGATATGCACTTACTTTCTTCCAGTAATAGATTGGAGAAGTTTGAGAACCTTGGTCGGAATCTAATCCCAATGAGTAGTAGTGCAACTGGAAGTGGCAGGGATGGTGAGGATGCTAGTGTCAATCAAGACGGTGGTGGAAATTTTGAGTTTTGTCCCAACAATGGGATTGAACTTGATTCTATTTCTCTGAACATTGACCAAACGTATGAATTTATCAATCCAAATTCCGCACCATTAGGGGATGTGGAAGTTATTGTTCTCAGTGATTCAGAAGAAGAGAGTGATATCATGATTCCATCTCGAACACTCTACGAGAATAATCAAACTGATGTTGGTGGAATCACATTTCCAGTTCCCACACATGGAATTCCCGATTCATATCCTGAAGATCCTGCTCTTGTTACTGGTGGTAGTTCATGCCTAGGTCTTTTCAATACTAATGATCATGAATTTGGAATGCCCCTCTGGTCTTTACCTCCGGGTAGTCAGGCGGGTCCCAGTTTCCAGTTATTTGGTTCAGATGCAGATGTCTCAGATGCCTTGGTTGATTTGCAACACAGTTCCATTAATTGTCCTACATCGATGAATGGATTCATGTTGCCTGCAGAGACTACCATGGGATCTGCTACTCTTTTCCCAGACTGTACTGTTGATCGTTCTAATGCTGATTTAAATGATGGCTTAGTTGATAATCCATTGGCATTTGGTGCAGATGATCCCTCTCTTCAAATATTTCTTCCAACAAGGCCTTCTGATGTATCGATTCAGCCTAATTTGAGAGATCAACCTGATGTGTCAAACTGTATACAAACTGAGGATTGGATATCTCTCAGACTTGGGGGTGGTGGCACTGGTGGTCACAGTGAATCTGAGGCTGCAAATGGATTAAATTCGCAGCCGCAATTACAATCCAAGGAAGGGGCCATGAATTCTTTGGCAGACAAGGGTATGTGCATTATTTTCTTTTTTTAATTAATTTATTTTCGTAAAATTTTTGGTATTGAACCCCGAAATGAGTTGTTAATTTTCCGAATCCAAGAAGCATGAACATGGACATATGACATGATATGGATTCGACACTGACATGTCGACATAGAAATTTTCAAAAAATATAAGACACGACACGTGGGGGGATGTGCAAAATATATAATTTTATATATTTATTTTATGTCATATATAAAGATAATAATAATAATAATAATTAAATGTTGTATATATGAATATTTAAATCAAATATAATAATTTTAAACTATAAAGGAGGATAATAGCTATAAATTTATGTTGTCGTTGTTTTATAATTGCATTTCAAGTTGTTTTATTCAAATTTGTAATGTGTTCAATGTGTGTCTTAATTGTTGGGAACATAACCTCGGGGTTCGTATCATGAATTGAAATAGTTTCGTACCGAATTGCGAATTGAATCGTGAATAGTAAATATTTTGTCACTTTTTCTAAATTACTGAAAAACATATATCTACACATTTAAATGTTAAATATATCTTGTGAATATGAAATATTTAGACTTAAATCAATGAAAATGTTATTTTGAATGATAATCACGTAGTTTAATAAGTAAGAAGTTAACAAAGGTATCTAATAGACAAACTATCAATTTTCAAAGTAACAATAATTAGCAACGATATTGATATTTGGACAATAAGCATACACAAGTAACCGTGAGCAAATGATAAGAAATAATTATTTAGAATCTTTTATTTTAAAGCCTAAATAATTTTACATGTAATATTTAATTATATTCAATTTAATAAAATAAAAATAGATAATTCATAGTGTAACTTTAATCTTAAATATCTTTAGAAGATATATTATGATTTTTTTAAAGGAAAAAAAAATGGAAAGAAAGGTTAAAAATATATTGGGCCTGACTGAATCTAATTGAACCTATTAAAAATTTCATGATTACTAAAATAATAACAAATCATGTATATATGTTGGTTAGTTTGGGGTATTAAACACTATTACAAATTGTATGATGTCATTTCACTAAAAAGAGAGAGAGAAGAAGAGTCGAAAATATGTTGGACACAATAATTTCAAAAATTGCATGAATCGTAAAATGTGAATCGAATAGATTCACCCATAGATTCGTATTGTTTTACAAAAATGGTGAATCAAATCGTGAATCGAATTCTGAATCGTAAGATTCTGATAATGGAGGTTGGGAAGTGTCTGGTGTTGTGTTGGTGTCCGATATGCTGTCCCTACACAACACGTTACTTTCTTGGAAGTATCCATACTTATTTCCAAATGTTAGGCCTGATGTTTTCTAAACAATGTTTTTAAAACTGGACCAGCTGATTTAAACATCAATCGATCCTAATTCCGGTCTGACTTAAACCTCAAACCTAAACATTGTGTTTTGTAAAAACCGGCTAAACCAATGGTTAAACTACTAAGCCGTGTGAACCGGCTTCAAATATGGATTTTTATTGTATCATTGTAATATTTCCTGTTTTGCAGATTCATGTCTGTTCAGCAATGTGGTAAGTACACTTGGAGGCTAATATAATTCAGTTTTCCTCTTATTCATGTTTTGTGCAGCTACTTTGCTACTAGGTATGAACGACAACAGACCTAGTAAGCCAATTAGCGAGAATAATCAAACTGACCCTTTCTCATTTCCTCGTCAACGACGTTCTGTAAGACCACGCCCATTCTCTATTGACTAAGATTGACTAGATGAGTCGGACCTTGTTTCCCATGAACAACTGCTACTATAATAGAAAACCCCATTTCCCCCCTGGCTTGAAGAATTCAACTAATTTTTGGAATGATTTGGTGATCTGTCCGTCTTCCTGCAAAGTTGGTTTGTATTTGTAAATTGAAGAAAGCTGTGAAAACATTTTTGTCCCTGTGAATAGTCTTGGTCGGTTGCTGCAGGACACACACCGTTTCTGCTTAAAAGTGTACCGGCAGCGGAGAAATATCTCTTTTTATTGGTGAGCTGTAGATTTTGTGTTTTACTTTCAGTTTTGAGCTCTTTTTCACGGTCTTTTTAATTCTTTATATACATATTTGTATTTTTGTTTTTACAGGGCTGATAAAATTCTCTCTTCTCCTGACAGACCCGATGGTCCCATGCTGGTAAATTGTACAATAGACAGTTGCAAAAATTTGGAACAAATCTATTGTATTCGCATTCGGAGGGAGGGGTCGAGTCTACTACGAAAGTAACACAAATTTACTATTTTTTTTTTCTTTTTGGTTTCTGATTTATGGTGAGCAAATAGTCTGTTAAATGTCCTCACTCTACTAGATTTGAGTAATTTATAGAAATATAATGTACTTTATTTTTTGAGTATTTTATCTGTTCTAAAATCGAGTGTGTTGCAATGGTTGCAGAGAAACCAGACTCCAAGTTGGAACCCATAGGTTTATGAGTAAATTTTCAATGTAATGGTAATATTGTTGTCATTGATATTCAATATTAAAAACACCAAAATAAAAAGGTGAACCAGCCTATATTTGTATTAGCAATCCCATTAGGGGGTTGGATTGGATTTTAACTATCTAATTCTATGAAATTAGAGGTGAAAATATCATTATTTTCTTACTTTACAAAAATAACTAAGTAACATTTTATATATTGAAATTTTTTACGTAAATTCATAAAATTTGTCTTAATTAACTAACATCATATAAATACACAAATAAATATAATTTATTTTATTTTTCCAACTTAATATTGTCGCATTAATAATTTCCTTGTTTAATCTCTTCCTTGTTTAATCTCATTGTACTAATAATTCAACAAATAAAAAGAGAATCACCTTATATGATGTATTGTGATTTAATGATAATATTATATATTAATAATAATGTAAAGTTAGTGATAGGACTATTAGCGTGATTTATTCAATTATTAGAAAGTCAAGCGCCATAAATTTCCACCCCCAACTTCAAACCTTTTGAAGGACTTGAATGGTTCAGATACGGAAGAGTGGTCAGTTTTTCCAACCTGGGAAGAAAAATTATTATTTTAAGAATTAATACGGAATTTAAACATAAAATACATATGGATAAATAAAATTAAAAAAAAAAAAAAGTTAGCTTCACTTTTAAAGTTTTTTATTCATATATATTATAATCATTATGTGTTCAATTTTGTAACCGATTTTCTATATTACCTAAACTTAATGATAAAAGAGTAATGCTATATAAATAATAATAATTATTATATTTTCTTACCAAAAAAAAAATCAATACAGAATGATGTGGCTGTTTTACGGTTCTATCACTTCAGGGAAAAAAATAAAAATTATTAAGTTTACTATTATGTTTAATTTTTTCGTAAGAACAAAAAAACTATCTATACTAGCGATAGTAGAACTACTAACATATCGGTCCCATAATCAAACACGTAATACATAAGAATGGACAAAAAAAAGTTATAGATTAATTAATGGGGGAATTATTGTTCAGGGGAATTATAATGTTAACCATTTTTTTGTAATTATTTTTTTTTGAAATCCATTGACATGCTATTTGCCTTTTACTAATAAGGTCCATTTTAAAATTACTTTATCCTTGTACATAAGGAATTTTACAGAATGGATACCAATGTAATCTAAAATGTTCGCAACACCTATAATTATAAATATATTGTCGCATATTGTATAAATATGTATCAAGTATTTTCTATACATATAAACATTTCTTTTTTTCAATCGTATTCTGTTTGAATTTTTTACAAGAACGTGATGATTGACTAATCAACTCTATTGACCAATCTTATGACCAATTTCGACATCCACTAATGAGGTTTGTTTTAAAAAAATTATAAAATAGTTATATTAAAAATAAGAGTTAACATAATAGATAATAAGAAAAGAAAAAAAAGAAGAAAAAAAATAATAAGGGGTTGTTTGGGATGCTCTAAATAAGTGTATTTTTTGGCTTTTTAAACTAAAAAGTTGAGGAAAAAATATGATTGTTTAGGTTACCTTTTTGACTTTTTATGAAAAAATGTGTATTAAAAAATTGTATAAATTAGTGTGTAGAATAAAATTAAGATTGGGAGTTTAGCAAGTCGTCAAAAAGCTAAAAAGTCAAAAAGTTACTCAAAAAGTTAAAAAGTTATCAATATTCACTAAAAATAAAAAATTATGGCGGCACAACTCCTAATCCTAATTTTCTTCTATACACTAATTTATACATTTTTTTAATACACATTTTTCTATAAAAAGTAAAAAAGTTAACCCAAATAACCATATTTTTTTCTTCAACTTTTTAGTCCAAAAATTTAAAAAATAGACTTATTTAAGACATTCCAAACAACTCCTAAGTCTCAAATGACCAAATGGGAAACCTACCGAAACTAAAATAACAAACTATAGAATTTGTCAAAAAATTAACAGCTATAATATGAAAAAACCACTAATCTTCTTATAAGTGTAATTAAAAAAAACAAAATTTACATTTAAATAAAATTCAGTCCTATCATTGTCATCCTCATCCTAACCGTCACTGTCTTAGCTCGTTTTGAAACCACAATGATTCGTATCATTAAAAAAAAAATTATTAATAATATTAATATATTGAGAATGTTAAAAAAAAAAAAAAAACAAGGCATAGGCGTGGGATTTATTGTCAGATCATTATGTCCACGGTAACATCATTAATAGTGTTATTAGAGTATCACTTTTAATACTTTTAATTATTTTTTATTTTTATTAAAAGGTGATTTGAAATATTCTAAATAAGTGTTTTTTTTAATTTTTTATAAAAATATGTAGAAAAATAAAAAAAATGAATAGAATAATAAATATAAAATATTGATAAATGTTGATTGATATTATCTAAATAAATATATATACTCCCTCCGTCCCAAAATATTAGTCTCTTATTCCATTTTTTATTGTCCCAAAATATTAGTCCCTCTTCAAAAATCAAGTACAAAAATAATATAAATTTCCTATTTTGCCCTTCTTTTAAATTAATAAACAATATAAAAAGTACAATCATAACATTGATATTCCCAAAAAATGTACTATCAAAAGGGTAATTTTGGAAAATCAACTTTTTTCAAATGCAATAATTGTACTACCAAAAAAAGTTAGATTCCCCAAAAGGGACCATTATTTTGGGACGGAGGGAGTATATTAAAAAAATATAATTTTTTAATACATGTCAGACACTTGTACTTTTTTTTTAAAAAAAAAAACTGTACAAAGTCATGTGATAAACTGATTTTTTCGCTACTATTATCAGCCATAGTAGGAGTCAAAATTGAACAAGTACACCCACAATATTAAACATCCTGTTGATTTGTAGACTTGTTCAAATGGAATGTGAACATGAGAAAATATGGATTATATACATATATATAGAGAGAGAGAGAGTCTAGAGAGAGGTGGGACCATGAAAATAATGAATTAGTAGAGTATGTTCAACGACTAGCTGAGCTGAGCTTCCGTAGTCAGCCCCAACCTCCCAAAACCTAATCACAATCTCTTAAAAATCAAATTTCACTAATATGTTTGATTCAACCTCGTCATTAATTTCATCTTCATCTTCTTCATTCTCCTTTTTCTCTCCCCTTTTGAGAAAAACTGTTTTCAAAATCAATGGATTACTTCTTCTTCTTCTTCTTCTTCTTTTGACCGATCAACTATGGGAAATTGCTTGGGCAGACCTGCAAAGTGCGCTCATGCTTCTTCTAATCTATTCGTTGGTACAATTCTTCTTCTGATTTTTTAATTTTTCCCAATATAATCATGTGGGTTTGTCTTTGATTTCTACGGTTGTTCTTTTGCATTTGTTATTTTGAGACTCTGTATTGAGCACAGCTTTAGAATCAGATCGAACACTTTAAGGTAAAATTATTGAAGTGCATTTCCCCAAATTCTCAACAAGTTATGTTTTTTTACTCAATTTTGATGAAATTTTATGAAGAGCAAGTATTGGAGATTTGTTTCTTTGATTTTTTTTTTTTTTAAAAAAAAAAAAAAACCGTTATAAATTTTTTTAGATAAAGTTTGCAGTTTTTAAAAAAGATTTAATGAAAAAAGAGAGAGGAAGGATTGGCTTGGATTGGATTGGATTGTTCCATATTAGATCAAGTTTTTAACTAGATTATCACACAAATTTGATGAGGGGAGAAAAAGAGAGTAAAGATTGGAGATGCTCTAACACCATTGTTTTCCTTCATGCTATTGTTGGACAATTTATTTTTTTCAATTTGTTTTGAATTCATTTTCTTTCTGACACGAATTTCCACAACTTCTTTAGAAACATCTGTTCTGCAGAGAAGAATTGAACAAATTTGAACTTCTTTGCCATAGTCAATCCTCTCTCTCTCTCTCTCTCTATATATATATACACTCTAGAAATCTTGGTCGGAGTCGTATTAGCTTATTTTTCGGCCATGAAATAGAAGGCTACCTATGTATAGATTGGATTTAGTCACGCCGTACAGTGGCAGACCCAGGAATCTTGTTTAGGAGAGACCAAATTCTATGGTTTCAAAAATTAAGGATGAAGTTTTAACTATTTCATTCTTAGCAAAGAATATGATTGAATCTACAACTATAGTTTATATTCAATATTGAGATAGACATAGAACATCGAAAGAGGATTATATTAGTACTTATTCCATTATATGTATGCATCGACATGAGAATAAACTTTGTTAAGAGATAACAATAAATTCCTTTTAACTTTTAACTATCCTAGAATTTTAAAATTAGAAGAAATCAACAAAAAGAAAAACCGAGTCCTATAAAAGCTCTGAAATCCTCCAATAGAAATTGTATCGGAATCAATCATTATAAGTTCTCAAATTAGTTAGTTCCTTAAAAGCTCCAAAAATGAGCATTCAACTCACAGCAGAGAGAAAAAAGAAAAAGAAAAAGAAAAAGTCAAGGCCCTTCAATGGGCATTTTATCAAATGGATGATAGTCACAAAAGAACTATCATACAACCTCTGAGTCAAGTAGTTAACATAATGCATGTAACCGAATCGGTTAGCTTCCATTTGGGCTACACATTTCAAATTATATCTAAGTTCTAATTATAAACAATACCCTTTAGCAAATAGATCACAAAGAATAACAATTAGCAGCTGTAAAAGGGTGACAAAATATACTCTTTATGACGACATTTTTGGCATACCATTGCTTTGTTCTTTGCCGGGGCTAGGGCAGAGGCAGATATATGAATCTACTCGGACTCAGGCAGTGCCTTGCCCGTAACTTGGTAGTATGCAACTTGGCAATATGGATTTAGTCATGCCTTAGTAGTAGGAATCGTGGAAGGGACTCACGTTTCTGAGGAAGAAGCGCGATTTTGCACTTCCAAGGAAGAATCGCATAAGAATCACACTTCTAATGCGAGAGAATCACACTTCTAATGCGAGAGAAATGTGATTAGGGTTGGGACTAAGGCTTCGATCATCGTTGTCCCTCTCTTCTCTCACTGTCGATCTCGATCTTCTTTGTCTCTCAGGGCTTCGATCGTCTTCGTCACTCTCGTCTCTCACTATCAATCTCGACTGTCTTTGTTTCTCTCTCTCTTCTCTCAGTCTCGATCTCCTCTTCATCTCTGTTTGCTTCTCTCTCTCTTTGTCTCTATTTGCTTCTCTCTCTGTTCGTCGCCCTCTCTTCGTCTTTGCTTCTCTCTCTTGATCTATTCTCTGTTCTCCCTCTCTCTCCCTATCCGTTTTTATATTTGTTTTATATAATATAAATATAATTTATCATATATATAATATAATATAATATAATTTATAAATTATAATATTTATCATATATAATATAATTTATCATAAACAATATAATTTTTATGTCTAAAATAAAAAATTATTTATTCTATCAACTAAGTGTGAGATTGCTCAATTAGAGAATTTGAAGAACTAGAACATAAATTCTACTGATTTTGCTTTGTAACAGGTGTTTGAATCGAGGTTGAATACAGAATTTCAAATTTATTGAAGAACTATATTCAAATTAATGTTGAGCATTTTATTCAGAGTTATCATAATTTATTATAATAAATAAAATATAATTAATAAAAATAATGCATAAGCGCTCCTAATTTACGACTCCTCTAAGTGGCCACGTTCCACCGGTCCTGCTTCCGCTCTCGCTCCCACTTCGTGCAACTAAGGGTCATGCACAATGCACCTGTTCTTAACTGGGGCAAGGGTAGATATATGAATCTACTTAGCAGATAGCTCGTGTGAGAAACACAAAAGGTGCCGATTTAACACAGTGTACCTTGTTTGAGAAATGGCAACTCGATCGCTCGGCTCTAGCTTCGCCTTCGGATTCAGGCCCATGTTTTTTCCCTTGGTCTCTGATCAGTGCCTAAATGTTACATATTTATCCCTTAATATACGCTTTATTAGTATTTTACTGTAGTTCCTGCTGTCTTGCAATTGCTGTTTTTTATATGAGTTTGAATTTTGAGTCACTTTCAAATCACTTGTGTAGTGGTATTGCAGGCAACTTTGGTTTCTGGTTTTATTGCATGAGATTTTAGTGGTAAATATTCTATTTTCTTCGAATTTTTTCCCCACTTTTTATCCAGAAACGACAACGCCCCCTAGCACAACAAAAGATCATCCATACCTGTCCACCCAGCAAAGTTTGAACAAAGCTCTCATAGCATCCAAAGGTGATACGCCAATCTCCAACAACCTCAAGTCCTTTACTTTCATTGATCTCAAGAATGCCACCAAAAACTTCCGCTCAGATAGCCTTCTTGGTGAGGGAGGATTTGGATGTGTTTTCAAAGGATGGATTGACGAGAACACTTTTGCTCCCAGCAAGCCGGGAACTGGGATTGTAGTGGCCATCAAGAAGCTCAAAGCAGAAAGCTTTCAAGGTCACAAGGAATGGCTTGTATGTGTCATAAATACTGCCTTTATGCTTTCTTTTTCAGAAGTTGCCCATCATTGTATGAACTAAACTCTGTTTGACCTTCGAAACTTGGCAGACAGAAGTAAACTATTTAGGTCAGCTTCACCATGAAAATCTTGTGAAACTCATTGGTTATTGCTCAGAGTTTGAACACAAACTTTTAGTTTATGAGTTCATGCCAAAGGGAAGCTTGGAAAATCATCTATTCAGAAGTAAGTTAATTTCCTTGTTTTTTCTTTACTTTTTCCATTTTTGTCCTTCCAAATATATTATCTTATTTTTCAAAATGAAAACAAGGGGTGCATATAAGTACCGATATGATTGGAAGTGTGAATTTAGCAAAACTGGAAATTAATGACAGTGCACTACGTGATTAAACTGTGTAAGAGAACAAAGGTTTTGAAATGATCATGTAGAGGAATCATCAAGGTTTTTGATAATTCAGGCAACCAGCTTTGTGGGTTGTGCACATATAGGTTGACCTGGTCGGGAACTTCTTTTTGAATGCTATACCAGAAACATATTTTGACAGGCTTTTGAAATCTGGATCAGACCAATTATCCAATTATCATCAAAAAAAAAAAAAAAATGGGCTTCACACCAGGAAAGAAGAGCCCCGTTTTCAATCATGAACCTTTTCAGCCACACTAAAATTTTATTCTGATAGTTTTCATTTTCCTTTTCCACCTAACCTGGCCTTGGCAGCATTAAAATTCCAGTCAATGGCATTTTTATCTAAGTTTTACTTATCCAAAATGAGGGAAATTATATCCAGAATTAAATTGCTATTTCTTTCCGTCTGCAGAAGGTGTTCAACCTATTCCTTGGGCTACACGAATGAGTATTGCTGTTGACGTTGCACGCGGACTATCCTTTTTACATAATTTAGATGCTAATGTAATCTACCGTGATTTGAAGGCTTCCAACATTCTACTTGATTCAGTATGTCAACAAATTTGAAGTTTGAGTTCTTGGATCAATATGGAATTGCTGCCCCTGAATTCATGTAATCAGTTTCTATGCCTCACGGAGCTTTGTTTGACAAATTTTGTGTAGGATTTCAATGCAAAACTTTCAGATTTTGGCTTAGCAAGGGCTGGTCCCACTGGAGATAACACTCATGTTTCTACTAGAGTTGTGGGAACTCAGGGTTATGCGGCACCAGAATACGTAGCGACAGGTTTTGATCTTTCTATTCCTTTCTTAATGCATTTTCTTGAACCAAAACAGTTATATATATATCACAATATTCAATGATAACACAATCCGCAAATATTGGAACATATTGATAAGAATCTTGTCAACCGTTAATAGTATCTTGCTCTATACTGTTCTTTTAGCTTTTATATATGAATAGCATAAGCAAATTAAATATGGTAAACAATAACCGAAGTGACAAAATTAGAGAGGGACAATCATAAAATGAGAGAAATTATGAACCTAATGAAATGGTTGATTGTAGAAGATGGAATGTTTCAAGAAGACAAGTGAAAACTCCCTGAATGCTAGTCCCATTAGCTGTCATCAAAATTTTGCACAGCCTCCTCTCCCCAAGTTTGCTTTTAGTTCCTTGGCCTCACAAATTTCATTTTTGTCTACTTAGGTCAAGATAGCATCAGTTTCATGTCAAACCCTCATTTCTGTTTCCATTTTAGGGAAATTTTTGCGACAAAGATGTAACGCTCCCAAATTATTACAATAAAACCAATCCTTAAAGCATAAGAAAAATAGAAATAATATGTTTTCATTCATCAGAGTTCGTTTACAAAAGTTAACACATGCGATATGTTAAAATTCACCTACACCTACCACCACCTACTACCACACCTACTACACCTACCACCAATTTACCCTCACCTACTACCCAAATCCTCTTCTATATAATAGGAATCCTTGTAATATCAATAACACAACAATCAGATATCAATCATAATACATAAATTTTTACATACATTCATAAATGTTCATCTTGAATCTACAACATGTGTTTCAATGTAAAGAGAATTAAAATTAAACATATAGTCATATGCTCCATAAGCTTACATCTTTCCAAGTCATTGCTTGGTTACACAAAAGTGAACCTAACTTAATTTAATTTAAGCCCTTGGCTATACAAAATAATATAACAAAATAAAGAAGCTCTTGCTCCCAAAAGTCCCTCCAAGCTATTGCTTTGGCGGAGGCATGTCACTAATACCTAAAAATGGTTTTCCCAAATAGAGTGAGTTAAAGCCTAGTAGGAACAATCTAACCCGGTATATGAAATTTAATAAAGATATGAGTACAATGTGTATATACAATGTTTGTGACAAAACATTCATATTTTTACATAATCATAAAATACCAAGTTCATGTCTTATTTCATTTTCCTTCAATTCATTTCAATTGATGAGTCAATTTTATTATCTTTCAACAACCCCAACTGAGACTACAACTCACTGGTTATTTAATCAAGACAATTACCACACAACACTTCAATATGCCGTTTTACAGAAATTTCGTCTGCAGGATCGGCATCCATGTATACACAAGATTTCTGGATTTTCACGTTGGACATTCCAACCAACTTAATTTCAATGAAGTCTGTCCCTTATCTCCTCCCAAACAATGGAGTACATCCCATTTTTCTTCCCAAACATCATACATATACAATGTATTTAAAACATAGTCATATTCAATGACAACCAACAATAGATTAGTTTCAATTTACCTAATCCTCATGCAATTTCTACAACAATCATAGCTATCCTCCACCGATAGCGCAAGACAGATATTTCTAAATAGATATACAATCTTCTTAATAGATAAATTATTCAAATTCCCATAGGTGAGAGACAACACGTGTCCAACTCCACCATTTATATCAATAATCCTCCAATTTTACATTACCAATATCGATTTTCAGCTATTTCTACAAAATAACAATTTGACTCATTTAGGACAAAACTCCCATTTTTTCAAATATCAACAATTTGTCACAAAACAACCTCATATTCAAACCCCCAAACCATTTATTTCACATTCACTAAAAACTCTCTTTTTTTATTTCACACCCAAACCCTAGGTTTGTTCAAATTACTCCCCAAATCTCACCATTTTTACACAACGACAAATAACTAAGCTAAAAACCATATAAAAGTGTAGAGAATCCCTACCTCAAAGAGAGAAGACGAGCCAAGCAAAAGTGAAACTTCAAAGATGCCCAAATCCAACTCTATTCCGATCAAAATGGAGATCTTGAGATGGTCTACCTTTTTATCAAAGGGATTAGAGTGAAGAAATCATTAAAACTAGGTGAAAATATAGAGAGAGTTTTAGAGAGAGAGGGTTTCAACTTTAGGTTTTAGGGAGAAAAGATATGAAAACGTGATGTAAAAAGTCATTTTCGCGATCTGATATATGCATAGTCCGCTTAAACGCAAAAAGTGCTGCTCGAGTGTCAGACACAAAAAGTTGTTCTGCTCGAGCGCCAAGACACAATGAACAAAACGCTCGTCGCTCGAGCATAGAAAACACACATCCAGTAGTTTTACAGACAACGACCAACGCTCGAGCGCAAAAAAGTTTGCTCGAGCGCCCACCCGCTCGACCGTAGGAAACGCCGCTCAAACATAGAAATCACTCTCCCAATAGTTTTGCAAACCTGCAAAAGTACTGAAAGTTTGCAAAGCCCGCTCAGGCGGAGGACCAAAATTCTGAGTAACACAAGATTTGAAAAACAGGCGATCAACTTGCCCAAACACAACCACAACAATCCAAAAGCCAATTTAAAAGAGATACAAGGGAAGCAAGGGGTAAAAAACAATATAAAAGCATTAAATCCGAGTCCGGAATACCACAAGAGTCGGATCAAAACCGGGATCGATAATAATATCTTGTCAACCGTTAATAATATCTTGCTCTATACTGTTCTTTGGCTTTTATATATGAATAGCATAAGCAAATTAAATATGCTAAACAATAACCGAAGTGACAAAATTAGAGAGGGACGATCATAAAATGAGAGAAATTTTGAACCTAATGAAATGGTTGGTTGTAGAAGATGGAATGTTTCAAGAAGACATGTGAAAACTCCCCGAATGCTAGTCCCATTAGCTGTCATCAAAATTTTGCACAGCCTCCCCTCCCCAAGTTTGCTTTTAGTTCCTTGGCCTCTCAAATTTCATTTTTGTCTACATAGGTCAAGATAGCATCAGTTTCATGTCAGGCCCTCGTTTCTGTTTCTGTTTTAGGAAAATTTCTGCAGCAAAGATGTTGAAAGTACTCAATATAGGTGTGCAAATGTCTGCATACATTGTTAAGTTGGGAAGTAAAAATAATTTCGCTAATTTTTATTTTTTGGTTTCTGTTATTGATCATTCTCAAGTACTAGAATTCCAGCAACCTCTTGAATGACTTCCGATTTTAATTTTTTTTATTAAAAAAAGAGGTAAAAAAGAAAGAAAATGAAAATAATAGAATGAGTTGCGTTATTATTATTTTCATGATGTCATGAGAAGAGGCCTTAGATAATTTGGCCTGTTCTGGTGAGTTTGCAATATGGTGTTTATATTTTCTCTTAATATATATTGACTATAACCCCCCAATAAATGATTTAATTGTATCATTATACTTTCAAATTGATTAAACTTTTCAGACTAAAGAAACTGTTCATTTTTGCCAAGCAGGACACTTGACTCCAAAAAGTGATGTGTACAGTTTTGGAGTCGTGTTATTAGAGTTGCTATCTGGAAGACGAGCAATGGGTGACGAGAGAGCTGCGAGCGTTGACGAAACCTTAGTGGATTGGGCAAAGCCATTTCTAGGCGACAACAGACGAATTTTGAGAATCATGGACACGCGGCTCGGGGGGCAATACTCCAGGAAGGGAGCCCAAGCTGCCGCTGCCCTTGTGTTGCGGTGCCTACACATAGATCCCAAAAATAGGCCACCCATGATGGACGTTCTAGCTACATTGGAACAACTTCACACGTCATCAAAGGATGTTCCCCAGACTCCAGAAGCAAAACTGGAGCATCGTGGGGTTGAGCAGTCGAGCTACCATCGCAAGTCACTCGCTACTGCAACCTCAAGGTAAGCTGTGGCTCTCTTTTTATGTGGATGCAAAGTCTCTTAACATACTATAGAGAACTATGAATGAAGAAGCATAATCTTTTGTGGGTACTTGAGAACTCAAGACTGTTTACAATATTTATGTTTTTAGACAACAGCTATCCCCAACACGAGGAGGAAAAGGAAAAGAAAATAGCTTCATGCCTGTGTTTGGTATGTGTTTGTGTAGAGAGATTGCATCTCATTTGTAAAACAGTAAAATCATTTCATATTTCATATTCTTGTGGATCAACCCATAATCTTGTGTGTCCCACATCAATTTGACTGCACTAATCTCCTCTTGTTGGTCTCATTTAGTGTTAAAATTTTTCATAAAATTTGTCCCTTTAAAATGCAATTTTACCCTTATGAACTTGAGGTTTTTGATGCATACAAGTCTTCCTGTCCGAAGGAAACCAGCCAAGCCCTTTTTCTCACAATGTATTGTAGAACTGTTGCGATAAAAAGACTTCTAATTCAGTATTTATCGTTCAGTTGTGGGCATACTTTTGCACGATTGTGTGGCTAGGTTTTTTGATGACATGAATCTCAGTTATGCGAGCACCTTGTTTGGAACGAGCTTAGTGGTATTATGAAGTGACTAGAGCCGTGCTTAGTGCGCTAAACCTCGAGTCTTCTCATGATATCCAGGAATGCGGAACTTTCCTTCGTAGGAGTTGTTCTTGATTGACAAAACTTTGGGCCTAAAATGTTGAGAAGAGAGAAATCATGAACACTTCGAATTCTCAAATGAGTTTGGCGAGCTTGAATTTGGTGAATGAAAAATTATTTTGTTACATAACTATAAAGAGTCACTTGTGACGGTAATTATTCGTTATATAAAATATCACCTCTTGAAAAATAATTAATAGACTCTTGAATTAAGAGAGACTTGTTTTAGAAGAGTATGTGGCAATATTGTTGTCTCATGTGAACTTTCCTTTCAGCCTACCTTGCTGTCTTTTTTTTTCTTTTTTTCTTCTCAAAAAAAAAAAAAAGATTTTAAGGATGCCTTTAAAGCTTGTAGAAAATTTATTAAATTTTATAAGTTTGATATAATTATATTATATTTGATTAAAATTTTAATGTACATAACACTTGGTCAATATTTATTAGTAAGTTGTTAGTTGTAAAATGAAAAAAAAAATATTTTTTCATATATTTTATACTTAAATATGTATTTTAATTTTTTATTCTTATTTCTAAATACTAGTTGTATTAGTTCTAATAATTTTAACTTTATTATAAAAAAATGTATAAGATTTTATTATCATTATTTTTAAACTTGAATGGGATGAAGGTAATGTATCGTATACTTTGTTACAATTGCCTAGAATATCTTTTTTTGAAATAAAAATTTATGATGTAAAATGACAAAGAGACCCTCAAACTTAAGAATGAACGAAAAGAAGGGTAGACACGAGAGACCCTTAATTATGTGTGGATTAAATTTTATTTGTTTTAATGTATTTTTCATCAAGAAAAATTAATTAGTAATCAACAAAAAGTAAAATGATACTAGAAAAAATTGTTTTTTTACCTCCAGTTCTCTCACTATTGGGAAAATATTAATAATCATGCTAAGATCTAACATTAGTATTGAACGTGCAAAATGTGCATTAAAATTTGAAAATGTATAAGAAAATGAAATTTTATTATTATTAATTTTTTTTTTTTTTTGAAAAATTACAAATGAGTGACTATCAAATTATCAATATTGTAGTTTTGACTAGAAAAAATATTGAAGGACTCCAAAATTTTGTTTTATTCTTATAAATCGAGAAGGAAAAAAAAGAAAGAAAGAGGAGTACTATATTTATATTTATAGGTGGAGGCAAGGTGAAAGAGATGGTGACGTGTGGTGGTTGAAGCTACGAGGATGACGCCTTGTGATGGATTGATGTATATTTATGTTACAAAAATGTTAAAAATCTTAAAAATTTTAGTAAATGTTTCATATTGTGCGGGAGATCTACACTCACATTTATAAAAGCTTTTGATAAAATTTTTGAAATCTTTAATATTTTTTTTTCTTAAAGGTAATAATTTTTGCATGCGTGCAAAATCTCATTATAAAATTTGACATAATTATAAATTTAATAGATCCCACCTTATTTTTTCATGTTGTGTTAAATAATTTAATTAATTTTAAAATTGAAAAAAATAAAATAATTATTATATAACGTAAAATATGGTGTGAAAATAAAATAAAAAATTTCACTTCAGTGGAATTTTTGAAAAATGATAATTATAAACAAATGACAAATTTCATAAATATTAATATTTTTACTTTTAATTTTTTTTCATAAATATGTAATAAAAATAGCCCCACAAAATTGCAAAATCCTAGACTTTGGTAAATTACAAACACATTTTTTAAGATTTGCTTAAAATAGAAATTATTTCTTGTAATTTTGTAAATTATAAATACCCGATTGTCAGAATTTTACTTATCAAAAAAAAAAAAAAAATTCTAACTATTCTTCTATACAATAATAAAATCACTATACTCGTTAATTAAAATATATTTATGAGATCATTAAAACCTGTTAATTAACTTAATAATTTATTAATAAAATGAATCATTTGTTATGTAATTAAAAATTTAAAAAGGCGTAATATAATTTTCAAAATTACAGGAAACAATTCATATTTTAAGCAAACATTGGGAGTGTATTTGTAAGATTTGTTTATAATATGGATTGACCATGTGGTTCTGAAAATTACAAATACCTTTTTATTAGAAATTTTTAACTGAATTAACAAAAAAAAATTTAACTATACTATATAACAATAAAATTTTCAAAATTATTAATTTAAATATATTTATGAAATCATTAAAAACTATTAATTCAATTAATAATTTATTAATAAAATACTTAATTTATTATGTGATTATAAATTTAAAGGATGTAATTTTAGAATTATAGGAGACAATTTATATTTTTAACAAATTTTAAGGGTCTATTTGTAATTTGCTAATTTATTTATTTATTTAGGGAAAAATGAAGAGTCGGTTCTCACATAAAACCAAACACCATCCGCACCGTCAAATTGTTCAATACAACGGCATCAAATGCCGTTAAGCCAAAAAAAAAAGGGAAAAAAATACTGACCATACGATCTCATAGTCTCATAGTACTCTCTATCTATATAACATTGGAACGGTTTATTTGAAAATATCTTTCAAATTAATGGTTTAGATTTGTCTAATTTAAAAAGCAATGGCTCATATTTATTTTTAAAAATATCTCTCTCATAAACTATCTTTAATGGTTTAGATTTGTCTAATTTAAAAATAATGGCTGAAATTGAAAAGGGATGTAAATCTAGCCCAGCTCGGCCCACTCGGGCTCGGACCGGGCTGGGCTCATGTCGGGCCTTGGGGGCTGTAACAAGCCCGCGGGGGACCTCGCTACAGCTCGGACTCGACTTTTTTCAGTCACGGTTCTAAATCTGAACCAAAGAGTCCAAATCCGGCAAATCGTTTTGAGAAAACAGATTTTTGAAAGAAGTGCCAAACATGGACTGCTTTGCCAGATACAGAGTCGCTCAGGCCTTGGGGGCTCTTGCCAAAATTCAAGCCGAGCCAAGCTGGCTCACGGGCCAAAAAATTAAGCCCAAGCCCAAGAGTATTCAGGCCTTGGGCGGGTTGGCCCAATGGACTTGGGCCTGGCCTCGAGCTTGGGTCGGGCTTGGGCGGGCCTAATTTTTTTTTATTTTTTTCTACCAAAATTTTATTATTTTCCATCAAAAAATACACTTGGCCTTGGGTGGGCCAGGCTTCGGGCAGGGCCCTAAGCGGGCCTTAAGCAGGCCGATAGATTGGATCACGGGCCGAGTCGGGCTGGGCTTCAAAACAATGGCACAGGCCCTAGCCCAGGAGCTCGGACTGGGCTCGGGTCTGGGCCCAAGCGGACCTAAACGGGCCGGGCCCACCTTGGGCCGCCCACGTGCTGCGGGCCATTTTTACACTCCTCATTCTTTACATCATATGTATCTATGAACAAAACTCTGAGAAAGCTTTGAAGAAGGAAGAAAGCTCTGAAGAAGGAAGAATAAAGCTCAATCGAAAGCTCTCTTCTCCACCATCACCAGGTAAGGCACTCTTCTCTCCTTACTTTCCACCTTCAATTTGAATGCTAAACAATGGAAGAACAGAACAATTTTTTTTTTATTTTTTAAACTTCAATTTGAATGCTAAACAATGGCTCAGATTTATTTTGCTCTTTCCTAGCTTCACCCATTGTTTTTTCTGAAGCAAAAAAAAAAAAAAAAAAAAAAAAAAAAAAAAAAAAAAATTAAAAAAAAAAAAAAAAAAAAAAAAATCTGAAGCAAAAAATTTTGTCTCACATTCGTACTACATTGAAATTGAAACATTAAGGATGTCTTCCTCTAACAAGGCTTGAGGTTTTTTGAAAATGTCACAAAATGTATTAGAGATACATTTTGAACGAAGGGCTGAGATTATACTTATCAAACATCTATGGGTAAAGATGATTAGTTTGTTTTAGCTTTTTCCCACCAAAATGTGTCTTTTCACTTAGTCTGTCTCTCTTTCCCATGTTAAGAGATAGATTCATCTCTCTCTCTTCTTACATACTCCACCAACTCTCCATTTTCCTCTCTGGTTTTAGCTCAAATTTTTCTCTCAGTTTCGGTTCTGCAATCTCCAACAACTCTTCATAGGCGACACTCCTATTCTTCTCTGCTCTTTCACTCTTCTAACCTATGAAATGGGTTTCTATTTCTGTAAATATTGAAATGGGTTACAAATATGATGGATTTTGATTTCATTGAAGTGGGTTTCTGTTTCTGTATGTATTTTAGAAAATATGATATGTTGAAAATTTACATTTTCTTTTTGTACGTTTGAAATTAGTTGCAAATATGATGGGTTTATATATTTCTATTTCATTGATGGGTTTTATCAACTAACCTATGATTATAATGGGTTTTGATTTTGGTTTTGATATCTATAAAATTGTATTTTGGTTTTGTATTTTGGATTTCGATTTTGGATTTCTATGAAATGAGTTTTGATTTTGGGTTCATATTTGTGGGTTTCATCCTATGAGGATTTCATAAAATTATTGAATAAAATGGGTGTTGATGACATTAGCATTCTGTTTTTTAGTTTGATTTTGAAACATTAGCATTTTGTTTGCATTATAGGCATAATCAGAAGCCCATTTATTTGGGGACCCATAATCCAAATCCAATGTATCAAATGTATGCTGTTGAGGATGAGCTTTAATAA